ATACCCCAAAACCCCAAAACCCCAAAACCCCAAAACCCCTCAATGTAAATAATAATTGATTAATTATTTGGAGTGTCTTAATGTCAGGTGAAGCTGAAAATACAACCACATCGGAAGCAGTGAGCAAGAAGAATAAGTACAGGAAGGATAAACCATGGGATAATGATCCTACTATTGATAAGTGGAAAGTAGATGAGTTCAAGCCTGAAGATAATCCTAATGGAGGCCCTGTTCTTGAAAGCTCGTTTGCTGTCCTCTTTCCAGAATATAGGGAAAAGTATATTAGAGAGATCTTCCCATTGCTAAAGAGGGATATGAAGAAGTATCACATTAAGGCCGAGATGAACTTAGCTGAAGGGTCACTTACAGTCACTACTACTGACAAGATGTGGGATCCTTATAGCATTATTAAGGCAAGAGACTTAATTAAGCTGATCGCAAGGTCGGTTCCCTATCAACAAGCTGTAAAAATTATGCAAGATGATATGTTCTGCGACATCATCAAAATTGGAGGAATCGTAAGAAATAAAGAAAGATTTGTCAAGAGAAGACAGAGACTTATTGGTCCTAAAGGAATGACTCTCAAAGCTTTGGAGATGTTGACCAAATGCTACATTCTTGTCCAAGGAAGCACAGTTGCTTGTATGGGATACTTTAAAGATCTCAAACAAGTTAGAAGGATCATTCTAGACACTATGCATAACATACATCCTATTTATAACATCAAAGAGCTTATGATCAAGAGAGAGCTTGCTTCTAACCCAGAGCTTAAAAATGAGAACTGGGATAGGTTCCTGCCTAAATTTAAGAAGCAGAATGCTAAAAGGAAGAAGCTAAAGATTAAGAAGAAGGAGTTTAGCCCATTCCCACCAGAACAGCAGCTTAGAAAGGAAGATTATGAAATGTTTAGTGGAGAGTATTTCTTGACCCCTCAACAGAAGGAGAACTTGAAAAACAAGGAAAAAGCTAAAAAGAGAGAAATAAAGAAGAAAGAAAAAGAGGAGGAGCAGGAAAAACTATTCACAGCTCCTGAAGAGCCGGCTAAGGTTGAAAAGCCTGTGTTTGAAGAGAAAAAGCCAGATCTAGATGAACTTAAGAAAAAGTTTATCAAAAGAAGGAAGAAGTAATTTATCATAAAAATTTCTGAATATCTACTGACCTTTTGGCCCCATGAAAGATTTCTATGATGTCTACTTCCTAAACTTTCGAAATATTTTTAGAGGATCTTATCAAGTAGATACAAAATATATTCTAGATTTTATGGTTATACAAATTAACCCCTAAAAACTTCTACGAATTTACTTTATCAAAGCGATCTACATGATAGGCCTGCTTAACTTAGGCAAGATATTTTATAACTTGTAGTAAGGACTTATTTCGTTTTTCCTGAGTAAAAGGACTCAATCGTGCCAAAATTAACTCATTCCTCATTTCTCTTATGGATGTGCTCTACTTCAGGTGTCTTAATCTTTCAATGAACATTTTTGTAATGCCATTGGTAAAAATCAGCCGCTTTGGCTCTGTTTGGACAAGAAAGAATTTTTGTAAGCTTAAGCAATGTCTTAGATAAGCTTATTCTTTGAAATATACTAGTCTAGAGATTTTTAAGTTCCAAAGTAGCAATAGTTCTGAGTCTGATTGTACCCACGGCCTGAGATTTGAGTTACTTCAACAGTTGGAGGTTAATAAGGGGTTTTGGGGTTTTGGGGTTTTGGGG